GACACCTTTTATGGTCTAAGCCAATGTTTCTCAACCTCAGCAACTTTTAAGACGTGTAGACTTCAACTCCCAGAATTCCCCAGCCAGCTGGTCTAAACAGTTAAGAATGATAAATACAGTTACATACTCTGAAACAGGATCAGACTTTGCAAATTGTTCTAGAGAAACTAGTTCTTCAACATTTTGCCAAAGATTCCACAATAAAACTGATTCTGGTAATCAAATAATCAGTTCTCCAGCAATATTCTTCCCTTGCCCAAATGCATTGGAAGTTATAGAGCTTCCTTCTCCGGTATGGTACCTACAAGATTTTTGAAGTTTCAACTCCCTGAATTCCTAGCCAACATCCCATTTTGTTTGGCATTTTGGGAACTGAAGATCTTTATGGGAGCCTTAGTGGGAAAAGCTCACCTTAGAAAGGGTGAACAGAGTAAGTCTCTCTCAGCGTAAGAAGGCTATGGCAAATCACTTCCAAAACTGTTTCTCAAGAAAACTGCATGGACTTGTCCATGTAATTGCCAAGAGTCAATCCCGACTCAAAGGGACTGAAAAAAGAAAGGGGGGGGGGTAGAAGTTATACCAGTAGAGCTCAAAATGATTTTGCACAGAACATGAAAGATATGGATAGAAGCGTCTTTATATCTAGCAGTATTCAACAATAGGAAACCCCTCCTATTAACTGAAATACCAAAGTTCAGTTACAGTTCTACCATTTCATGAAAATTGGCTCTAATTTTTGTCTGTAAACCACTTCCAAGTAAGGTATTGCAAGGCTGCTGCAACTTAATGCAAAACAAATATAGGACACTATAGTCAATGACACAACACTAATTCAGTTACAATCATATGACTTGACTGCAGATGGAAAATGCCAAACAGCACACCAAATAGTGTCAACAGTTTGCTAAATATTTCAGATTAGTTAAGCAATGGGCTTTGTTTTGTTAGTAGAAGGTAAATTCTACTCACATTCTGATAAATTAACCATGACAATAATTGACATTAACTGCCCAAGGATTTTTTAAAATATTTAAATAAACAATCACTAAGTAATTATGCCCTCCACATAGATAAGATTACCTTTACAGTAATCACAAAATGTGGGTACAATTACAATCTGGACTGGCACTTGCAGGGGTCCAATTTTACTCCTCTCTCATAGACATCATATTCCTAGCTTTCTAGACAGGAAAAGAGCAAACAATGAATTACCACAATTTTTTTTACGAAGCTTTTTTAACATTAACTCTATTGCCAACTTTAATAATACTGGTTTAACAGCTTTGTCCGATAGAAAGGCAATTCAAACATTATATTTTAAGAACACTGTTTATTTTAAAAATGGCTATATTACATTTCATCTATGTGTACTTAACAAAGTCCTCATGTATTTAAATGGATTTGTTATAATACAGATGAAAGATAACACTTCAAAACACTGTGCCAAAAGTGATCTCACAAATGAGCTGGCACTGTACTTAATTTACTAACAGATAAGATCCAAGAATTTATATTAAGCGAAGAAAAAATAGTGGAAATAGCACTGAACATATGTTATCAAGGATGCCTGCTCAAGTATGTTCTCTCTCTTCCACTTCACAGGGCTAAGAGACAGAATGCTAACCTGCATTCACTGAAGAAGAGTGACAACCAAATGAAAAAGTAAAAGAGAAGGAAGCTATATTTTAAAATGTAATGGCTAAATATGTTTTGCAATACAGGACAGCAGCTGATCACCAATCTAGTTACTTTTCTCCTTTCCTATTGTTACTGGCGGACATAGTTTCTGAGCTGCTATAAAATCTGACAAAATAGGACACTTTACAGGAGTGAAATGTTAGCACCAAAACCACAGCACAACAACAAAAGGATGAAATAGCTTCACAATAAACAACTTTAATCCAGAACTGGACCCAGCAAATAAGCCGGCAAAGTCAAAGACCTAACTGATGCAGGAAACCCAGGTCACATATTGCTGAGACATTAGCCCTCTTCACAAGAGTTAAATGTGGAACACTGAAAACAAGCACTATGCATATTGTAAGACCTCCCTCTCCCACAGAAGCCAACATGAGTGGCAGTATAAAGAACTGCCAGAAAATAACACCGCTAGAACCACATGAACAGCTACACAAAATTAAATTAAATTAAAACAAATTAAAACATTACACAAAATAAGGCTGCACATTAAAACATTGGTAAGAAGTGCTTTGCAATGGACATCAGCACCAAGCAAATCATCTTCCTTGGAATCCTTAAAGTAGCCACATATTTTGCAAGGCTCAGAGCTACTTGGAAAGCTTTCCTCAGCTGTCCATGCCTCCATGTGCACTCAAACTATGGTTCTGCTAGGATTGCCAAGGGCTTTGAACAGCCTTAATGAGGAATCGTTACATGTGGAACACTTGGGATTTGTTATCTATGAAGAGGTCTATAAAACCAGGAAAGACGCATGCTGAAATATAACATAGTAAGGAAAAGATTTTGAGAAGCAGATCACCCACACTTCAGGATTTAGCAATTGTTACAGTTTCTAGCGTTTTTACTTAACAGTTAAACTGGGGGGGGGGGCTCTTTTGTTTAAAATGTTTTTGAGATTTAGAGTTCTTTACATTTTTCTTGGCACCACCCATTTATACCACTGTCCCACTCACTTCTGCATCGTGGCCCTGCTCACTGCTAGACTATGACCTTGGAGTGGAAGGAATGCCTCTTTCCCAGAAAAGCTTGTCTACTGCACTAGATCAGTAACTAGTGCCTTCTTTTCAACCAGACATGTTTTGCACTGGATTTTTATTTCCTCTTAAAAAGGCCTAATTGGTAGTGTTCTTTAATAGTCCTAAAAGGTTCACTGCATGCATTTCATTAACAAAACTATTTCATGTTATCTTATTGTTCACTTTATCCCCCTTATCATAAGCATGTCTGACGAATATGTATGCTTCAAAACTACACCAGGAAAGGGAGCTGACAGCAGGGGAGATACTGCTGACTCCCTTTCCCAGTGCCTGGGAGGCTATCAGGGACTGGATGCGAGAGAACAAACTGAACTCCTGGCAAGTCAGGTTCACCACCAGAGTTATGCCTTGATGGGCAAGCAAGTACTACTCATCAGGGAGCAGGTTCGCAACTTGAGGTTCTTATTGGACTCACAGCTGGATCAGTTGGTGGAAGTTGTGGCCAAGGACTCCACAATGCAACCCTGAGCCACATATATTCTCTTCTACTGGTACTAATTATTATGCTAAGTCATTAGTACGTTATATTATATTAAGTAATTACTAATTTCAACAGTTAAAAGAGTCCTTCCGAGATATGTATCCATATTTATATAGCAGACAAGAAATTTTACTTTATTTCTCATGATCCAATATTTTCACACTGTGAAGATGCTAAACATACACTGTATCTTAAAGTAAATATCACCAATTAAATAATGAACTACTGAGCATCCCTAGTTCAGAAAAAAAAAGAAAAGTCCAAGAATCTGACCAAGTGTTTAATCTAGCAATCTCACATTCTTTTTTTAACTTAAATGTGTGCCATAATTTGTCATTTTAACAACAAAACTACCTGAGCAATCACACATACAGGAAAATAACCTCATTAAGTTAAAGATAATATCACATATACTGCCCAAAATGTTTTACCAAAGATAATTTTGAAGGGAAAAGTTGCCTATTCTTTTAATCATCAATGTTTTCTGTTTTCTTTTCTCCATTTTTATCTATCAAATAAGAAAAACAAAATTAAAAATATAACACAGGATGTTGCCTTATAATGAGTAAGCTCGTTGCCTCAGCTAACTTTGTACTTCTGCATTAGTGTAAATCAAAATAAGTTTTCCAGGATTTCAGTCAGAAGTCTTTGTAAATCTTACCTGGGAATGCCAGAAACAAAATCTGAGACATTTGCATACAAAGCATACATTCTGTCACTGACCAAAACTTTTATATTATTATTCAAATTTTTTTAAAACAAAAACCTTTGTTTTAGTTTTATGGTCTTTTTAATTTCAAGCTGTGTCTAGCTTAAATTCAGGCTTCAGTTACCTAATGACTTCTCAAATTATGAAAAGAAGATGTTATTTTATTACAGAGATTATACATTTGGTAATTTTAAAAACTAATTAAAATACCACAGGCCACCAAAATCAACTGGCAGTCTTCCCAATACTAATTTCCTTACTTGCCTCATTTGTTCATAAACTATATGCCTTGCAGCAAAAGTCTGAGTTAACACCCTTCTTCAAAGCAGTATTTACTTTTAGAATATTCTGAAGAAGAATGGAAGGAGACATTTCATTTACTTAGAAAAGCTAATCTGACTACGTATATATCTATACATACACACACACGTACATTTCAGGTCAATCACTTTTTCCTTTTTCTTTCCCTCAAACTTTACGTACTCTATTACCATTCATACAAGGCAAGTATCTGTAAGTTTTATAAGTTTTCTTTATAAAACTTATTTCTGCTCATGAGCATAGAAAGGACTGAAACATGAATGGTAAGAAAGAACATTACAGAAACACAAAAGAACAAATCACAGTATTATTTGTACCTTGCTTTGTCATCAAAGCAAGTATTTGCTCCGCAGAACCACAATTCCTTGTGTTCCCAATCTTCCCTTACACAGCCAAGGACGCATAAATGCTGAAGGCTACAGGTTCAGTCATCCTCAGCTTAACAGATATAAACTCCATCATCCCTAGCTAAATCAGCCGGGACGGGGGGGGGCTGGCTGGTTGGGAGCGATGGAGGGCTACAATCCAACGCCCCTACAGGGGCGTCAGGTTGGAGAAACCGACTTGGCTGGGACCCATGGGAGTTGGAGTCTAACGGTTCCCCAAGGCACCGGGTGGGAGAGCATCGTCCCGGCCTCAGGTTACCTCCTCCCTGTCCCATAATACACCCAGCAGCCTTCGCCTGTCGCTCTTCCCCATGCCGCGCAGAGGGGAGGGGAAGGCAAAGATCCGGAGGCCCCCGAAGGCTCACCTGAAGTCCAGCTGAGAAACGGAGGGGGCGGCTCCCAAACCCGGAGCTGGAGCGGGGAGGTTACGAAAAAGCGGAGACAGGAATGCGGCAAGGAAGCGGAAAGGGGAGAAAAGACGACTGGCAGCGGGCCGGTAAGGAGGGAAATTACGAGGGAGCCGCCGGCGGGCGAGCTCCCGATCTCTTTTTTTTCTGAGGCGAGCTGCACCAAAACCGCTCGCTCCAGAACTCCCCTGACCTCACTTCCTGTTTCTCCGGAAGAGCCACGATTGCCCGCCAGCCATCATAGAGATCGACAACGGAGGGAACAGAGCCACGGCGGAGTGCGGGGCATGTCACGTGATTTGGGGCGGTGAGGGCCCCAACAGGGCAGAGAAGAGCCTGGAATTCTGGGACGGATCAGCTTACTGTGTAGGAAGTGGGTGGCCCTCCAGCCCCATAACCTGACCCTGGGCGATTTTGCTGAGAAAGGAGGCGACCACCAAACTCCACGGAGTTCGTGGGCACACAGCATGACAAGTGGCAGGTTCCACCTGTATTTTGGCTTGTTTGGTTTAGCTTTTGTGGGTTGTGCAAAAGCAGCTGATTGTGCTTTATTCAATAAACCATGATTTCAAATAAGCCATGATTAAGTACGAGGCGTGCACCCAGCCCATTACATTAACCCTCCTGTTCCACACACCTACACATTTTTTTCTGAATTTTTAATCATTGGTCTTAAAGAGTTCTTGAAAACTAAGTTTGTACCCAATTTTGTAGCATTTCAGTTGAACGAATAAAGGCTTTTTTAAGGTTTTGCAATTTAATAGTGCCTATTATACCACTGCATCCCTTGTTTATTCACTATACTTTCAGGCATGTAGCTTTTGAAAATTGTGATTCTATGTACATTATATCTAGGAACGTTGTGTAGTCCTACTGTCCAAGACTCAATTTTCTTCAGGCTGGGCTCAGAGGCTAAGCAGGGTTGACCCCTGCTAGTGCTGGGAAAGCAGATCACCAGGGAATTCGGGTCTGCAGGCCCAATATTCCTACAGGTTGTTCTGGGAAAAAATGAGAGGAAGGATTTGTATATATTTCTTCGAGCCCTTGAACAAATGTGGGATAGTAATCAATAAATATTGCTGCCAAGAAAACACCACCAGAAGTTGAGCTCAACCTGAAAAAGACCTGGCCCTGATTTCCTTGTAAACATACATGGGATTTCAGGGTTGGGCTTCTTTACTTATGAAAACTCTTAATATGTCTATTATTTTCATGTATACCCTGTTCAGTTTGTGAGTGGTTTGCTGTATTATCTTGTTTGAGGCATTTTTGCAACAACATCCTTGTGGTCATTGTCATTTCCCAGAAAGGAGTAGAGGACAAAATAAAGCAAATAGTCAAAGAAATCGACTGTCATATGTCATGATATCATAGAGAACATATACTGTATAATTATAAAATTGGATAATTATGAAATATAATTTGATATTGCAAATCAGTGACATCATCTTGTCAGCAGCATATAGAATTTGTCTGTTTCCTAATGTTTCATAACAAAATGCAAAATAATCAGATGGAATTATCACCAGAAAGAATTCTGTATCATAATAGTTGGCCCAACCAAATTGTTTATGGACCTTTGCTTCCAACACAGCAGATGAAGTTACCACCAATGGAGAATTTCTTACTGGTCTAGTTCATGCATCACATAAGGTTAAGGTCATCATTTACTTAACCATAGAATAACCCACAAGTGGCTGAATTCACACATCACATAATTCAGACAAGCTGCATTATGGCTTGGTGCAGAACTACAAAAAAAAATTTTTAGTCCAAACAACACCTGGCTGTTGAGTGGCATCTTGGAGGTTGTCATCCCAAAAATTGTGGGAGGGGATAGGATGGAAGCCCTAGTAGCTTTAAATGTATTTACACGTAATTAAATGTAGTTAATACAATTAATCATCAGTCATGTACTTAATTTCTCATACTATATTAAAATTATGATTGGTCAACAGCTCTTGGAAGTTTCTGAGTATAGCAGCCCTGGGATCTCAAACTGAGTACACATGCCTCAGTACAATGAGTAAACATAGTCAGTGGGACTTATTTCCAAATCAGTGTTCTAAGGATCAAGCTTTCAGTATCAAATTATTGTCACAAACAATGCTAAGGTGAAAATGTCAGCTTCAGTGTCGAAACTGAGATTCTCTCAGATCACGTTTCAGCAGCTTTCTTTAGTGTTGTTTCTACCTAAATGCTGTTTATGAAGGTAACATGGACGTTGTCCTACTAGTATAGCAAAGCCAATGTTGACATGACCAATATCTGGGGGAACAGCAAACCACTGGAACCTTGTGAAAGTTATTCATCCAGAAGAATCAAGATAAAGAGTACTGTATATAGTTAGTAGTTGGTGGATTGTGATATTGCAGTTATGCTGCAATCAGTATGAGCCTCCTTTTAAAATAACGTTTTTTCTTTTAAAAATAGCCAGATACAAATATACTGTTGCTCTAATCTTGAGCAATGCCCAGTCCAGCATCAGGATGATAAATGTTGGGACATATCATAAAACAGGCCAGTTTGCTGTCAGTTTAGAAGACAGCACAATGCCTTTGAATGGCTGTTATGCTCTATTTTTTCAAAACAGAAGGGAAAGAAGTGGGCTGTTTTTAATTCAACAGATAACTTCTATAGATCTAGGATGTATAATTCTTTCCGTTTCTGTGTGAACTGCCTGAGACAGATCAAAAAGCTCATTGAAGAAATCCTGAATTTCACAAGTACCATTTCTTTTATCCTCTCTTCCAGAAAGGAAACATTTATGATGGGTCCATAGTTTTTGAATCTTCTAAGTTTTCTCAAGCACACCAACAAATCTGTTTCAAAACCAGTTTGATCTAGGGACTAAGGCACCAGGCTAGAAAGCAGGAGACTGTGGGTTCTAGTCCTGCCTTAGGCATGAAAGCCGGCTGGGTGACTTTGGGCCGGTCCCTCTCTCTCAGCCTAACTCACCTCACAGGATTATTACTGTGGGGTAAATAGGAGAAGGAAGGAGTATTAGGTATGTTTGCCACCTTGAGTTATTTATAAAAATAATAAAGCCAGGATAAAAAACAAACAACATCAGTCACCTCTGTACCAGGGAGGTATGTATTATCTCCCATTAGTTATTTTTAATAACTGAAGCAATGTGAAAAAAAAATGTTTAAAACTGGAACTCATCTTTGGTGATGTCATGGACAGGTTGCTGCAGTTGTTAACAATACAAAAGTGATTTGTTATTGCCTTTTTCTTGATTTTGTTGTTGTTGTAACTTTCCAGTCTAGCCTACAGACCTGGGATTTTCTAGTGATCCAATTACAATATTAGCAAAATCTAACCCCACTCAGCTTTTTCAAGAAGAGGCAAGATTTAATTAATTGCTAAATCAGCCTAATAGGAAGGCTGCTTGTTACCTACCAGAGGCATTACAGCACATGTTCGTTGCAGCAAACTCCGTCATGAGTCTTGTGGCACCCAAGAAAACAAGTTTTCATAGATCTCACAGGATAATTGTTATCCTCATTAAAGATACTTAAGAGGCTAGAGTGATGGAAACATTTGGTCAAAGGAAAATGAAATGCTAATGGTATGAAGTTATTTCTCAGCATTTAAACAAGGTCCTGTAACAGCCTATTGGGATCCTTACATTAAAACAACGTATTTCATCTGCGATCAGAACCCAGAACATATAATACAGCCTTTTAACTGAACAAAACAGAACAATTGAGAACTGCATATTATATGCGGATCTGATTGGAGTAAATTGTAAGGGTGCCCCAGAAATATGATTTGCATTTTCTTATAGTTATGCCTCTTACTCTAGTTTGCGACACAGGGTCTTATTATTGCTCTGTACTTTATATTTGGTATTCTGATATGGCCTAATGGCTGATCAATAAAGTAGTTTTATTATTATTAACAAGGTCCTGCTTTGAAAATGGGCGCTATTTTTTAATAGTAATTTTATTAAACATTACAATCAAAAAGATAAAAAACTAATACAAACTAAAAAAAATAAAAGAATTTTAAAAAAGGAAATGGGCACTATTATAATGTGACAGTCTTGGTGGGTACTTCCTGTAATATTGGCATAGCTCTGGGTGAAACCCAGGATAACAACACTTCACATCACAAGATTCTGTTGTAACATCTTAGAACCGTCACTGCAAGTATGCCCTGATTTGCACGCATTAGAACTCCGCTTACAAGTGTCACAAAATGTCTCCTGCCATTCAGGTCTTTTGTTTCAGAGTCTTTAAATCGTCCTTAAATTATTTAGACTGCATGCATGCATAAATAAATAAATCGATGCATAAATCCCTACAATTTATATTTTTTTTAAAAAAAGGTTGTTTTTTTAAAACCCACTGTATGCTTTTTTTAAAAAAAGGTTGGTTTTTTTAAAAGCCAGCGTATGCTATTGTAAGTTACTTGTTGCAATAGACTGCTCCCCTTCAGCAACTTTCCAGGTATGTTGGAAGTGACTTATTGTCATTGTAGTCCAACATTTCTGATTGCTTCTCGCTCCCATCCACCCCTCCAGCCATCTCTGTTGTCCTATTCCTGAATCGATCAGCAGGTGGCTGTCCCAAGGTGCCTAATGATCAGTCCCTCGTCTACGTCCTCGTTCTCATTGGCTCTCCGACACATCCATCCGCCCATCCTCCTCGTCCATTGGCTGCCTCCCAGCTCTTCGCTTTCATCCTTCCGGACCCGCGGCTGTTCTCGCCCCCTCCTC